TCTCTAAGAATCCCTCCGAGGCATTTCCGGAGTTTCTGAGCGTCTCTAGGCATACACAGAGTGTTCTAAATCTTCTTTAGAATCCCTCCGAGGCATTTCCGGAGTTTCTGAGAGTTGTAGAGTGAAGGGTTGCGAAAACGCACCCTCTTTTTAATATATAACGCTTGCTTTGGAGGTGCATATCCTCACTCTCTATTTTTTACTGCTATTTAAATTATGCAATAAAAGCTAGGGCCATGTAGTCATATATTTAAATTCCGCATAATAAAAGGGTAAAAGCGTTATTTTCCAGTTTAATTATTTATTCAAATTAGCCAGCCTATCATAGGGAACCCGAAAGGGGCGTCGTAAAGGAACTAACACTTCCTTTACACGTAACTAACTCCCTTACCCAACTCTGGTTCTAATGACCAAGGTTGGTTTTTGAAAACCAACGCCTTTTAAACCCCTTTTCCGATGTTTATGGTAAAAATATCGGTGGCGACTCCATAGAACCCAACTAAATAAATCCCTGGGTTAGCCCGGTTATCGGACAACTCAGGGATACTTTTGAAAACCTCGTCTCTAGGTTAGCCCGGTTATCGGACAACCTAAGGACGTTGTAACCACCAATAAAAAACGTGAAAAATCAAAGAAGAAGAGTCGAAAAAACCATCGCGTCGCTCCGACCGCGCCCCCATTTTCGGGGAGGCGGCGACACTTTTTTATTTTATCTAGAAAGTGTTTATCCTTCTATACAATGCTTTGAAGCAAGTGTTGACAAAAATAGAGAAGCTTGAAGAATCCTATAGGTAAATTAGACTTTCTTCGTAATTCATCTTCAGCTATTCTCACATGATTTCTGAGCGTCTTAACTTGCTCATGTACTGCATGGCTCATATTTTCACTATATCGTCGAGCCTCTTTTGTCTTTTCTTCCTGATGAACGATCAAGGCTTGCTATTGGTCAGACCTCTCTATTACTTGGTCTCTCTCACGAAGTAATTGACCATACTGAGCTAATCCATCTCTTTCTTTATCATGTAGCTCATCCAGGTTTTCTCTGTATCTTTCAGCGGTTTCCCACCATTTTTGTGCTTCTGACCGAGTTTCTGCTAGGTCATCTTGTATTAACTTGATTGTTTTTGCCTGTTCTGAAAGCGCACTCTCAAGATGTGCTATTTCGTCATTCATGTCCCGGAATAGACTATCTTGTTCAAGCCATAAAATTTTCAATGCTTGTTTAGTCTCTTCTTGATAATCAGCACAATCATTCTTAAGACGCTCTATTTCATGGTCCTTCTTTTTACACTGCCTTTTTAAACCATCTATTATAAGGGTTGATTCTTGCTCTTTCTCTTCAAAAGCTCTCAACTGAGCTTCCATTACTTCTACCCTTTTGTTTAATGCATTGACATGCAATTGTAGCTCTTCATTAACTAATGTTGTAGTGAATGTAGCAGATGGTTGGGGTATCCTTCTACTTTTCCTCCACTCCTCATATTCATGGGACGTAGATACCTGAACCTTTCCGAGTTCTTTATCTCCTATATAGACTGGTCTTTCCCATGCTTTCCGGACAGCAGATACTTCTTCAAAGCTATGGGAGTAATGACATAGACTCAACCCTCTGAGCTCTTCTTAAGTTGGCACAGTTTGGGTTCTCATGAGTTGTCTCATAACCATCTTGGGAGAGTAAGCTATGCAACCCCTGAGGCCTAGTAATGGTATGCTCAGGTAATCTCCACATTGTATAAGAACATAATCGGGTCGAAACCAAGGGCAAACCCATGATACATGCTCTATTTTCCAGTTTTCTAACTCGGTTTTCCATTCTAAAGCTTGGTTATGTTGAAGAGGGATTTTCAAAAAACTCCTTAAAGGATCAGGGAATATGCCCATGTAGCTTAAAGCGTAGAAATGAGTAATGCCCCATACATATAGTAATGAAGTACCACATCGAAGTGTTTTCCCCTGTTTCTGTCGACAAAAATCTACTGAAATCAGGGTATCGACGAGAATTGCAGGTATATGACTCTTAGAGTATACATCCCAGGCAAAGAATGCATCTATTGTAGCATGATCCACAACGTTCACATGAAATGGGAATAATATGATTCCAAACATTGCCAATGCTAGAGTTTTGTTGAAGGTTGATCAATCTTTCTTTTCAGCCAAAGAGATTAAGTGGTATTCTATTATTGACATTTTTCAACCTCGGATGTTCCCTTTTCCCTCTAGGATGGATTGATGAGGAGGCAATCGTATGATAGTAGCAACCTTACTCACGACAAAATATACTCCTGAGCAGGCATAGACCCAGACTGACTGAGGCCATCTAACCATGAGTTCATATTCTTCTAAGGTTGGTACTAAATCGAACTGCGAAAACTCAAAGCAGTGCAGATTGGGATTCCAGAAGTGGACCAATGCTCTAACAAAGACAGGATCGATGCTGATTTTTAGGAGGTCAAGAATCCTTCCGTAAGATTTCTCAAAATTAGCACTAACCTCTGGCGGCATATATGTACACAACTGCCTTAACTTCTCTACACGGCATAGAAGGATTTCCACTTTCTTTAACTGTCTATTACTGGATCCCTCCATTATCTAAAAGAAATGAAAATGCATGCATGCAAGTGTTTGTTTTTCTAAGTATTATCATGTTTTATTCCTAGTATGATACATGATAGTGCTTGGTTTTTTCTTGAAAACAAAACTGTCTATATGAAAGTTTATGGATTTTGATGAAAAGAGTCCTATTTTCTTCTCTTATTATTTTATGAACAAATGTTGTATGAATCATAAGACTTTTGTCAAAAATCATTTTATTATAAAAGGTTTTTTTATTGCTTTAAATTTTTTTTTGTATTTTTTATAACACTTTATCTCTTCTATTGGTCAATGTGGCTACTTAGCTTACAATGAACCTGAAACCAGGCTAGCTTAACTAAAGACTGTCTGAGATAAAGTTGGTTTATTCTTATCACTTTTATGGTTTTTTAGGATTTTTACTATTTTGTTCTGTTGTATGATTACCCTATACTAATGCATCAATACAAATGCAGCAAACGAATGCACACACAATTCATTCATCCACGAGCAGAGCCACGCTTATTTAGAGGTGGGGTTTTCCTGCAGAAACGTGCTTGGTTTAGGTGGTTCTAAATTGTTCTCACCAAGGCCAAAGGTCCCCAAGGTGCCCCCATTATAGGGACCTCTCAACCTCTCAATCTCAACATTGGAAAAGGATAAAAAAAACGTTGATTTTAATAAAAACCAAACTTGGCTATTATAACCAGAGTTGGGTAAGGGAGTTAGTTACGTGTGGGGAAGGTGTTAGCACCTCACGACGCCCCTTTCGGGTTCCCTATGACGGATTAATTCATAAAGTAAAGATTAAGAGAAATTACGCTATTACCCTATTTTATTGTACAATATTTTAAAAATGGCTATCTACATGATTTTATTTTCTATTGCATACATAAAGCAATAAAAGAGAAGAGAAGTGAAAATAACCTCCATAGCAAGCTTTTTATTGCAAATCTTTAACTGTGAGGATGCATTTTGGCAATCCCCCGCTCTATAAAGACTCTCCTCCCCGAATACAAGACCGACTCTACCAAAATTTTAAGAAGAATTGAATGCTGGAAGAATATTCCTTAACTGATTGTTACCTTTTTAGGCAATCGGAGATTTCATTCGAAGGAGGGAGAGAAGACAAGTGTCTGGAGTGTGACAAACGCTTAAATGAGCTTCCTATTTATAGTTTTTTCAGCTTGGCAGCTCGGGACAGCAGTCTGGGGTGCAGAAAATAAGGATGGTCGTTTGCAGAGGCCAGGACGACCATCTGGGATTTGGGACGGCCGTCTGGGATCTGGGACGGCCGTCGCAAGTGTCAAAACTGGTTGGGACGACCGTCTGGCATGTGGGACGGCCATCTGGGCTGACTGGGATGGCCATCCCGACTTCTAGGACGACCATCTCGACTGTTTTGGCCAAATTTTGTGTTCTAGGACTCCCGGGAAGCTTTCCTTTCTTTATTCGGAAGTCGATTGATGCCGATAGACATCCACCGAAGCTTTATCTTCGGGTAGAAAGTATTCTTAGCCTTTATTGAGCGGGCGAGCAAAATTAGGGGTCTACAACCATCTTAAACAAAAGCCGTTGAATAAATTATCCTCTTACTTCTTTTCTCTTGACCTTTAGCATAATATTCTAACAATTAGTCTGGAAATATCACTACAAGAAAAACACTAAATAGTGACTGAAAATTCGGTCACTAAATGACCAAAATCGGTCACTAACTAAAATAGTGACCAAAATAGTGAACAACTGGAATCGGTCACTATTTCCTTGGTCACTGATTTTAGTGACTGAATCGGTCACTGAATCAGTGACCGATTCAGTGACCGAATCAGTGACCGATTCAGTGACCGAATCAGTGACCGATTCAGTGACCAATTTTATAACCAAATATATGACCGAATCAGTCACTATATCGGTCACTAATTTTATTTTATTTTTAAAATAATAATTAACCTGATTAAGGAATATAAAATACATTATATATTTTATCAAAAATATCAAAATTACACTAGGAATGTATCTGTGCATCATAACTTATAGGCTTATAGCATAAAATTTGGGAAACTAGAAGAAGCCAACATTTGTTAAGACATCCAAGATAGAGTTTTGGTGACAAAAATGACTGAATACTTAATTACCACAACAACCGAAAAAAAAATAGTGGAGAAAATTGTCATCTTATTTATATAGTAGTCCACAAAGCACCCATAGATATAGGAGCAAGTCATGTTCTCCACATTTTGTAGGACTTGTTAAAAACAAATAAATGATATACACGTTCGGACTTGAGATACAAAAAGAAATATTACTTTGTTATGTTCCATTATAAAAATCAAAACATGGCCTTAATCACTACCAAGACATTTAAGTAGCTAGAGGCGAGTTAATGAATGAAACAGAGAGCATGAACCCATTGACCATCGGAAAACTTCCTAAAAGCACCAGGTAGTAGCACCAATATTAGGCTTCTCCCAGAAATTGATAGCAGATGCTCCAGAGTTTCTAGATGACAAATCTTCACATATAACATCCTCTATGGGAAGTCCATCGCAAATCTGCAACAATTTCTTGTTGATGAATGGATGAATATAACTAGAAACTGCACCCTTTTTGCATTTCAAATAAATTTAAATTGGCTTTAAAGAAGAAAAGCAGAACACAGAAACTCCACCCTTTCACATTCTTGGAAATAGATAGATCAAGAAAGAGGAAAACAAAACACAAGAAAAGTAGGCAACACCACTTTTCTAGATAAGCATCACTTTGTACATACAAAATGAATTACTAAAAGCAGATATTGATATGATCATATATAAATAAAACTGATGCAATGGAGGAGAGTAAAATCTATATTAAAATCATGGGACGTGACTTCCAGAAAACCATTTTAAAATTCAAAATGTGACCATTGACAAAAACTGGATCAGAATAAAAAGAAATGGGAACAAAAACTGGATGAATAAACTGGACCCTCCACATTAATCTGGATTCCTATCAAATTACAAGATAAACCTCCCTCTCACAACACCTGTTTTTATGTCCAAGCAGCATACTTTAAATCTAATTATCCCACAACCCCAAATCTCAAAATTCCTACTTATTCTACCAGTGATGGGTCTACCAATCACCCACATATCATATCGGCAGGACGATCTATACTCAAGGTCTTTTGGGTTTGTGGGGCATGGCTTCATTGACTATCCCAAGCCCCTGTAAAGGGTTGTGTCACACCATCATAGCCTGCACATACAATTAGATAACTGTTATATAACTTCTCTATTATTACACATAATTGTCCTACTATATATCATATAATGTCACTATTATTTATTAATTATGGCTTGTTATTTTCTTATTTCTCCTAGAGCAAACAACTTATAAATCAAGGGCAGGCTCATCAACATGAAAGTGTTTCTTATCAAACAACTTATTCTAGCACACTCAAACAAAGAGAACGAAGTGTTTTAATATGCCAATGCCTCACACATGTAAGACAATTTTAGCTTCCAGACATCGGTTAGCATCAAGCAGTATCAAAATGGATATTATTTAACAAAACAGTTAGTGAAGACAATCTATATGATAAAAACTTCCATTCATCTGTAACAAAGGCAGGTTGCATACATTAACATGATAGTGTTTCTTATAAAACAACTTATTCTAGCACACTCAAACAAAGAGATCATTCTTTCCACCTTGGTTTACACTACCAATTTTCCAAATATCATTTTTACATGTACTACCACATGGTTGAGCCAGGAAAGTTAAGAAATGCCATGTAACCTTATAGCGGACAACAAGGTAAGACCAAGTTAACTGTCATGTCAATTCCAACTACATACAATTTTTTTCTTTTAAATTTTCCAGTTCATTCGATAAAATCCAAATGATTCTGACCATAGGAAAGTGATGTTGAAATTCTAAGATGAAGCTACTGTTGAATATAGGGAAAAACTGTATAGGGTTAATTTCCCTTATGTATTTACCACACATAGGGCAGTGTATTTATAATAAAGAAAGGTACTCCTCAAAAGAGTAACATAATACAAATAGGGTAAATAAAAAGATATTATTTGATATTGTGATTAACAATATCTAACAATATCTCAACAATATCAAACAATATCAACTAATATCTAATCATATCTAACACTCCCCCTCAAGCTGGAGCATACAAATCGTATGTGCCTAGCTTGGTACAAAGATAATCCATCCTAGGTCCCCGTAAAGACTTAGTGAAAATATCTCGCTAATTGATCACATGAGTTAACGAACTCAGCCTTGATGTCTCCAGACATAATCTTTTCCCGAATAAAATGGCAAGTCAATCTCAATGTGTTTAGTCCTCTCATGAAAGACAGGATTAGAGCTTATATGGAGAGCAGCTCGATTGTCACACACTAGTGTCATTTGAGTGACATCTCCAAATTGTAGCTCTTTAAGCAATTGCTTGAGCCAAATAAGTTCACAGTGTAGCCGAGGCCATAGCTCTATACTCGCTTCTGCACTGGATCTTGCCACAACACTTTGTTTCTTACTTTTCCATGAGATCAAGTTACCACCAATGGAAACACAATACCCAGATGTAGATCTTCTATCGAGGGAGATCCTGCCCAATCAAGCATCCGAATAGCGAGACAACTCTTGTATGATTATGGGAGTCATACACCAAACCTTTTCCAGGAGACTTTTTGATGTACTTCAATATACTGGATGACCGCATTCCAATGATCTTGACAAGGAGAATTGAGGAATTGACTCACCACACCGATCGCAAAGGAAATGTCGTGGCGAGTAACCGTAAGATAATTTAATTTTCCAACTAATCTTCTATACCTGTTCAGGATCTGACATTGGCTCCCCCCGATTTGGCAAGAGTTTGGTATTAGGATCCATGGGTGTGTCAACAGGCTTTGAATTCATCAACCCAGCTTTCCTCCAAAATATCCAATGCATACTTTCTTTGAGATATAACAATGCCATCGGTAGATTGTGCTACCTCAATACCCAAGAAATATCCGAGTTTGCCAAGATCTTTGGTTTGAAAATGGTGGCAAAGGTGTTGTTTCATCTCGAGAGATGCCATGATGGTCACTACCTATAAGAACAATGTCATTGACATACACTATCAAATAGATACATCCAGCATTCGAGTGACGGTAAAAGACCGAGTGGTCTCGCCTCACTTCTAGTCATGCCAAATTGTTGAACAACGCTGCTAAATTTTCCAAACCAGGCCCTAGGAGACTCGTTTTAGGCCATATAAAGATTTGCGAAGACGACATACCAATCCAGAAGACTCCCCCGAGCAACAAATCCGGAGGTTGCTCCATATAAATCTCTTCTTGCAAATCGCCATTCAAGAAAGCATTTTTGACATCCAAGTTGATAAAGAGGCCATTGTTGAATAGCAGCCATGGCAATGAATAAACGAACGAAGCCATCTTTGCCACTCGGAGAGAAAGTATCACCATAATCCAACCCAAAAATTTGGGTATAGCCTTTGGCTACAAGGCGAGCTTTGAGGCGATCAATAGTACCATCAGGACCAACCTTGATAGCGAAGACCCACCCGCAACCAACAACAGATTTTCCGGATGGTAATGGGACAAGCGTCCAGTGTTCCACTAGTCCGAAGAGCACCGAGTTCATCTAGCATGGCCTCGACGCCAACCAGGGTGGGCTAAGGCTTCGAGACAGATTTAGGAATAGACACGTAAGAAATAGACGAGAGACAGGTATAAAATGGTGAAGAAATTCGATGATAACTTAAAGCAGTATAATGTGGAGAAGGATTACGAGTAGAACGCGTACCTTTACGAAGGGCAATAGGAAGGTCGGACTCGTGGACGGAACCGGAGGAGGCAGAGTATTTGGCACTGGGAGTGAGTCATGTGGCGTCCGTTGTGGGCGAGGTCTCGCAACTATAAACCCGAAGGGGTGGTGGAGGAGGAGGGGCTAATGGTGGATGGTCCTCAACATAAGGATCAATGAGAACAGGAATGGGAACTGTAGCGAGATGGAGACTCAGCAGGTAGGGAAGGGTCCTTAAAGTAAAAGGAAAACTCATTGAAGGTGACATCGGCAGACACAAAATAACGATTAAGAGAAGGAGAAAAACACTTGTATCCTTTTTGGGATCGAGTAAATCCTAAGAAAACACATTTGTGTGATCGAGGAGATAACTTATCATGACCAGGATCAAAATTGTGGACAAAACAGGTAGACCCAAAAACCTTCGAGAGGTAAAGGATGGAGAGTGTCATGAGGAAATAAAATAGAATGGGGAATTTTGTTATCTAAAACCGAAGAGGGCATACGATTAATAAGATAACAGAAGTAAGAACAACATCACCCCAAAAATGTTGAGGAACCTCACCATGAATTAAAAGAGTACGGGTTGTTTCAATAAGGTGTCTATTCTTGCGCTCAACCACCCCATTTTGTTGAGGGGTATAAGCACAGGAAGTTTGATGAAGAATGCCATGAGAAGCCATAAATTGTTTAAACGAGTTTGAAAGATATTCACGGCCATTATCACTTCGAAAAGTTTGAATAGAGACACCAAATTGATTTTTAATTTCATGATAAAAGTTTTGGAATATAGAAAACAACTCGTAACGATTTTTCATTAAAAATAACCAAGTACAACGAGAGAAATCATCAATAAAAGTAACAAAATATTGAAAACCTAAATTAGACTTAACACGACTGGGTCCCCAAATGTCGAGTGAACTAAGGCAAAGGGGGATGAAGCACGCTGGGAAACACTACGAGAAAAGGAAGTACGACTATGTTTGCCTAACTGACAGGACTCACACACCAAATTGGACAACTGGGATAAGCTGGGAACAAGTTGCTGTAATTTGCGCAGACTGGGGTGACCTGGTATCAGAGCCGAAAAAAATCCCAAGAGACCTTAAGCTCTGATACCATGTTGAATATAGGGAAAAACTGTATAGGGTTAATTTCCCTTATGTATTTACCACACATAGGGCAGTGTATTTATAATAAAGAAAGGTACTCCTCAAAAGAGTAACAGAATACAAATAGGGTAAATAAAAAGATATTATTTGATATTGTGATTAACAATATCTAACAATATCTCAACAATATCAAACAATATCAACTAATATCTAATCATATCTAACAGCTACAAAACAAAGAAAACAAGACAATGTCCCAGAACCATGTATTTGTCGGGTAACATTTCTAAGTACAAAATACAAAATCTCAGAACCTCAATCCGTAAAAAAACCGTGTTAGACAAATTCTCAATTACTCCCTAGTCCCACTTACAGAATCTCGCAGAGCATTCAATCAAACAACAGAGATCAACCCCGAATTGTCCAAAATCCAAATGCCATAATAATTCATAATGACAAAAAAAAAGACACACATTCAACAAGACTAGAGAACACAATGACGAAAAAAACAAAAATTACCACAGAAAAATTGAACCACAAGTAAAACCAACAAACTCAAATATCTCAAAACAAATTAGCAAAATATGAAAAGACTTTGGATTGTAATTGTACCTTCGCCTTGGAAATGATTTTAATAGCAACAGGTTTTCTTATAAAAGATGGGTGCTTGAGGATGGGGGTTGTGAGTTGGAAAATGTCTAAGGCTGTAAGAAGTGGTAGAAAGTTAGGGGTGCTTCTTTATTTGGGCATAAAGGAGATCAGGAACAGACTGTAGATTTTCAAGAGGCTCCCAAGTGTTGGCAGTCTCAGGCCATCCAGGCCTGCCAAACATAGCAAAATGCCCCTTCAAAACTTCATTATTCACACTTATCATGTTACCATTTTTATTCAAACAAGTAAAGTAAAGTAAAAACTCACCATTTGATTAGGTACTGGAGCTGACCCTATTATATCCATTGAATCGCAACCCATTTGCAGCATTCAATGTCAAAAGTCAAAAGCAAAACATAATAGAAATTTATAAAGTAAAATAAAATTAAAAAAGTAATAATTATCAGTTGGTTTGATTACCTTGCGTAGCCTCTTATGGCATATGGTTTCGATTTCATAGAAGTCATCCTCGAGGTTGGTAATTATAAAATATTGGTTTCAATTTCATAGAAGTCATCACAGAGAGTAGTAATTATAAAATATTGTCAAGCATATAAGCGTTTTAGTTAACATTAACGAAGTTTAATGAATGATAACCAATTGAAACAAAAAAACAA